CAGGTGCGTGCTTCAGGTGTGACCTGGGGACAGGTACTTGCTTCAGGTGTGACCTGGGGGCAGGTGCGTGCTTCAGGTGTGACCTGGGGACAGGTACTTGCTTCAGGTGTGACCTGGGGACAGGTGCATGCTTCAGGTGTGACCTGGGGGCAAGTGCGTGCTTCAGGTGTGATCTGGGGCAGGTGTGTGCTTCCTTCCCTGTGTTGGCTGAGCAGCACAGTGACAGCCTTCTGTGACCAAGCATTACTGTGAAACCAGTGGTATAAAACAGAACTCCACCCTCCGTCCTTTAGGAAACAATATAACTGAGGGTTATATAAATAAGTCAACATTCCAAGTGATCAAGAAAACAACTTTTAAATAATTCTTCCAATTCTGTATTGCTACTGAATCTTAAGACAGTCCCTAGTAAATAAAATACTTAAGGTTGCTAAATAGCCTTTAACAAGAAACCGAAGGACCTTTAGCAAACCAAGATACTGATCATTTTCCTACAATTGTGGAATAAACTGTCCTAATAACTAAGACTATTACTTATCAATGCTATGGACCAACTATCAGGTTTTCCAAAATTATTTCCTCTCCCTCGCAGCGAGGACTCTGTCTCCATCAGAGCAAGCACAGCATCACGCGATTACACAGCACAGTTCCGCCTTCCCAGGATACAGACGTTATAAAGTAAAATCAAAGAAGAAATTTTATTTTTAAAAAACTCCAATTACAGTTTTATTTTTCTCATTGGGAACTTCCCTTCATTTTGCATCCTTCTTGTCCTTCTCCCTCCCGTATTCTTGCATTCTTACATTCTTTTTTCTTCTTTAAAAGATTTGCAGTCTACGAATTTACCTCTGAGTAGAGTCTTGGCTGAAGCAACTCAGTGATATGCTCTGAGTATTTTGTAACTGCCTCTATATCTCGTTTTTGGTTCCACAGTAAAGGGTGGGTACTTTTTTATTTCCAGAGAGTTGGAATAGTTTTTACTAATTTGGGTTATGGTCAGGAAACATGATGATTTTCAGTATTTTCGTTGGAAAATTTGCTGCTATGTTTGTGTCTTAACACATCATGGATAGTTTTAACTGCTTGTGTACACATTAAAAGAGGATTCTGTCTGTGGAGATTAAAAGGTTAAAATACATTACTGTTGATCCATCCCATTACTTCCATATTAAAGTATCCTGTGGGCTCTGATTCTGGTCCACTGTGACTCCCAGGTCATCTTCTGCACCTGCTCTGCTCACGTCTTTACCTCTACGTATTTGGAACATAAAGGACTTCCACTGTCATAGCGTCTCTGTGAGATATTCCTTCGTCAACACTGAATGTGTGTCCCCCCCCATCTGCCCCCTTGTCGGCTATGAATTCTTCCACATTTGTTCTCACTTTTTTTGCCTAAACTATATTTGTCTATTTTCAAATTTTGACCTTTCTAGGCCAACTCATTTCAAGACTCTCCCTGGTAAACAGCTTTTAACTGGATTTGGGCTCTTATCCCAACATAGATTTCTAAGTTATTTTGTATTAATTAGGGGATTTGCCCTATTCCATTTGTCATGTTTGGCTATTGGGCCTTCCTTTCTCTTGTTTTTCTTTCTTTGCTATTTTTCCCTTCTTTCATTTTCTTTGCAGGGACTATTCCTTAGTTATCTTTGTGACTATTGTCTGGCCTATGACAGATACCCACTAAATGTTTGTGGAATGAATTAATAATCATATAAGTTGTGCAATGATGTGGAAAACATATGCACGGCCTTTAATTCTGCTAGTGGTTAACTTAATTTCTTGAAGAATTTAAAAACCATGATTAAGCTTCGAAGGTTAATCAGAATAATTACTCTCACTGTTACGGAAAACGAAGAGTTTAGAACTTCTGAACTCCGTCTAGCAAACCTACTCCCCCAGTCTTTGTCAATTTAAGTCATATTTATGACCACAATCACCTAATCTTACAATATGGAGGATTTATTTCCCATAAGTGTGTCTAAGACGATTCGATACACACCTGTCAAGTTGTTTCCAGTCCTACTTCCAGTCCCTTCCCATTCTTGCCCTTACTTTAGCTCTCATTTTTCTGGTATCTTTTATTAGTATATTCAAGGAGGCATCAGGGTTCCATGGTTTCTAAGTCTTTGCCTATATAGGAATATTCTCTGCTGCTTTCCAAACCCGACAGCCCAAGGAATATATCAAAATCTCCAAACCTCACATCTCCTGGAAATCCCAGCATGTCTCTTTGGGTTCCTGTTCCTCAGGACACAAGCCCAGGATTTCTGCTGAAAGTCACACGTCTGTGTGCCTCCTGGTTAACACCTGTCTGCATCTTTGGATGTCCTTGGAGCAGATAAAGGCTTAAGCACGTGTCCTCTAGAACTGAGTGCCACTGACAAGGCTGAGTCTGCTGTGCTGTTTCTGCATGGATATCCTGCCTTTCTGTGCTGAGGCACCAGGTTGAGGCTGGGTCAGGACCATCTCTGTGGCTAACGCTGCACAGTGTCAGGACTGGCAGCCCTCACAGAGCCACATGTAGTGGGGAGAGGGAGTTCTCCAAACAACAGCTGTGCTGTTACTAGAAGGTGGGGCCAGGGAGCTACACAGCCAAAACCCACACAGGGCCACTATGGGCCAGCTGATGAGAAGTGGTTTCATTTTAGAATGCAGACTCTCTGCAGGTTCTTCTATAAACTCTCAGCAACAGCTTCTAGATTATGTGATTTAAGCCTAAGAGACTGAACTGAGATAATTTTCTGCTTCTTATTCATTTCCTTGTCTAACGTACACAGGTTTACATAGCTTGGATATTATCTATTAGTTGTATAGAATGGTCATCATATCAATTTTTCCCTAAAGATACTAGGTAATTTAAGCTACAGAAAACTAAACTAGCTTATGTATCGATGTTGTCACAGAAAGAAGACATTATTATGCTGAAGCATTTAACATCTCTCAAGTGTTTTGTTTGGGGGGGGGGGTTTAAGACAAGATTTTACTCTGTTGCCCTGGGTAGAGCGTCATGGCATTATCATAGCTCACAGCAACCTCAAACTTACTATGCTTAAGCTATTATCTTGCTTCAGCCTCTCCAGTAGCTGAAACTATGGGTGTGTCCCACTATGCCCAACTGTTTTTTTCTATTTTCAGTAGAGACAAGGGTCTCTTCCCTTGCTCAAGCTCCCGATCTCAGGCAATCCTTCTACCTGGGCCTCCCAGAGCCCTGGGATTATAGGTGTGAGCCATGGCTCCTGGCTTCAAGTGGCTTCTGGCCACAAATCTTATTTTCACAATATGGGACATTTGTTTCATATATTAAATATACACTTCACCCAGCTACTTGGGAGACTGAGGCAGGAGAATCACTTGAGCCCTAGAGTTTGAGGTTGTTGTGAGCTACCTCTACCAAGGACTACAAAGTGAAACTCTCAATTAAAAAAAAAAGTGTGTGTACATGTATATATGTGTGTGTGTGTGTGTGTATGACAATGATGCTGATGTGTGTCTTATGCCACAGATGAAGCTTGATATTCACTTGAAACTGCTTACTCTGGAAGGGAAGGAAGCACCTGCTAGCAGGGATTGCAGAGCTACATGGAGGTGGGAAGAGGCTGCCAAACGCCAGTACCTGGTACGTAGAAGAGCCCACAGTGGTTCTCATGGTTGTTACTTCAGAAACGCAGTTAAAGAAGGTAGAATTTAAATAGGGGAACATCCTTAAAATATCAAATGAATAGAAAATAGAGTATTAAAAAGATACATTGTTTTTTATAAAAAACATTAGTTCAAAACCAGTGCGTTCAAATAAAACCTACCATGGACCACAGTGTGGTCTGCTGCCCCACGTTTCCCACTCTGTGGGTCTGAACACACGGGGACACCTTGACCCTGTTCTGGGAAACAGAAACCAAGGCCAAAGTCTACACGGAGCTTTGGCACCTTCCACTCAGAATGTCCTCGACAGGAAGCCAACTGGACTCCCTAAATCTTTTCCAAACTTGTTGCTGACAAACTACATCTTTTCCCTCCCCATACTGTACAGATTTTTCTGTTTTTAATCCAAAGGCAAGGCTTAATTTTACCCTTAATAAATAAATGCTTTGGTTCATTATTTCAGTCCATTGCTTTCCAGAATCGGTGATGAAGTGCCTTTACTTTGCCTCTAAGTTTCTGGCAATCTACGCACATTACCTTTTGTATTCTCTGCCAAATTCCTGGTAAAAATAAACAGGATACATCTTTTTAAACTTTTAAAGGAATGCATACTTTTGTAATCAAAGTAACATGCCCTTTTTTTTTCAGTGTTTACAGGAAAGGAAAACACAATGACTCGGTTTCTCTACTTTTGGGGCATGGAGATTTTTCTCCTGAAACCCAGGAAAGAAACTCTTCCAGGCCATGGGAGAGGAGGTGGGCCAGAGGGGCAGTGGCTTCTGCAGGGGGTTCTTCAGGCAGGTCAGACTGTCAGGAATCATGGTGAGGGCCAGAAGAGGCACAGTAAGGAAAAAGAGAGAGGGCCTGACGATGTCCCGAAAGGGAAGCCCCTCAGAGCCCCATGTTGTGCTAATGCTATTTTCTTTTTATCTAGATAATAACATAAAAAACGAAAACAAATAATTGCTTTGCAACATCACAGCAAGAAAAAAAAAGAACTTTACAGCTCAAACTTGGCGATTTTATAATAGACAGCTCATGCTGTCCATCTCAGGGCAGAGAGGCAGCAGGATGGGCCTGTCCCACACTCTCCGGGAAGCAGGTGCACCCATCAGTCACTGCACTGAGGCAGGAGGGAAACGGAGGAAGAACATTCTTGAAGTTTTGCATCCAACCACATTGGTCATAAAAACTAAAGCAAATACCATAAAGCTGAAAAGATACCATTTCTGTAGTAAATATTTCACTTTAATTCAGATTTATTTAACAAGTTAACAATCCATTACGCAGTAACAAAAATTATTTTTACTAATTAAAAAAAAGGACATACACAACCTGAAGATAATCTGATTTTGCTTTATTGATATTACCCCAAATCCAGTATTTACAGATGTAAAATTAAACAGACTTTATGAGACTACCATGGGGAATGTTTTAAAAAGTTAATCTGAAACACTCAATGAAAATCACCAACTCATGTGTGTTACAATACAATAATTAATTCATAACTTTTCAGCCAATATCCATCATAGTTCATTTCATTAAAAACTATATTCAAGACGAGATAAATCTGAGGATATGTAAAAAAATTTCAGAAAAATATCTTCATATCTAGCCACAATCTTCCAGCTTATCTGTAAAAGAAATTAGAGATATTCTCAATTGCATGCATGGCTACTTTTTTTAATACCACATTTAACTGTTGGCAAAAAATGACTATTCCTTTATTTTCAGCAGAGTTTGAAATATTTTTCTTAGGTTTAAAAAAATAGATAATACCTATTTGGGCATCTACGTACAAATTGAAATACAAATTTAAAACCAGCATCTAAATACTATTACTTCAAAAACAGCTACAAGTCTTGTGGCCACCATTATTAATAAAACCTTGATTTTCTATTGTGATAAAATATCACAGAAGGGAACCACATGCACAAAAAAAAAGTAAGGAAATGTTTTTATTAAAGAGTTCTAAGGGCAATTTATTGTAGAGGCCAATTGCTTTCACAAACACTAAGACGACTTCAGAAGTAAGGCATCTACACCTACAGTTATGAGAGGGGCAGCACCTATAACAACGTGAGAACAGAATGTAAAAACTGTGGGGTCCATGCTAGCACAGAGCCCAGTGACAGCACAGTGATAGCACAGGGAACATTATTTGCTCTATTTGTACAAATAAAAAGTCCCCTCTTCTCTGGTTTTAAGTGAGCTAGTTTTACTACTCATACATAGTAGTCAAGAATTACAGCATTACCAGTCTTTAAAACCTCTAGGCTGTGTTTATTATACAGAACTTATTCTTTTTCCTTTGAAAAATCATGGTTCTTCAGAATGTACTACCACTGTGGACAACCTGGAAGTTAAAATGTAAAGGATCTAATCCCGTCTATTCATTTTGAAACATTTCAAAATCTGTGTGTGACAGGAACTTCTGTTTTAAAACTCTGGAAAACTAACTCAATTTTTAATGTATTCACTTTTGTTAGAATAACACTGCTGAAGGGGCAGATAAGCATGACTGAGAAATCACAATGAATAAATGGCATTTATTATCCACTATTTTAAAAACATGTACTGGCCAGAAAAGGTCTGGAAATACTAATGGTGTTGGGTTTTGAGGGTTTTTTGATTTTTTTTCCAAATAAAAATTTCCCTCATACATAATAAAGAGATTTTCTGCTCAACAAATCTATTTTTCAGGTAATATGAAGGCAAATTTCAGAATGTTAGGAATTACCATATAAATAGCTGGGGCCCAAATGAATGGTGCTTTTTGAAGGGCCACTTTTAAGAAACAGAAATTACTCCTACTCGTGAATAACTCAAACAGTTGAAAAAATATACAGGAATGGAGGCAGAAGTTGGGACAACGGTACTATAATTTCGATCTCAACCACAGTAGGCATTTCCTTCACCAAGTGATTATTCAGGGCATGGATCCGTTTTCTAGAAATTACATCACGTGCACGCTTGACAGGCTTCTACTAAATGTGAATATACAACTGTAAAGCTGAATTTTTCTGACGTGTACGTTTTGTTCTGAAAGTTGCCTTTTCCCAAAACACAACACACTGATGACGGCTGCTCTTCCCTGAGCAGTGTGCCCAGATGGGGCACAGCGCGGCCCGCACCTACCTATGTGCTCAATAGTTGATCATTTTTCGAAGGGCATCGTAGCACTTCCACTTGTCGGGGATGTAGAATGGCTCAAAAATGTGAGGAAATGGTGTGTCATATCCACATACTCTCGATATAGGAGCTTCTAGGTTCAAGAAGCATTCCTCCTGCAGAGAAGAATCGAGACGGCCGGCTTCAAGAATTTGTTTTATTTACAGGAATGAAACGCCACGACTTAAAATAACTCACTCGAAATGCAACTGCACCCAAGGTCATTAAAAACATTTCAGTACATTGTGACGTGAAAAGCAGCAGGCAACGGAGAGAACGTGAGCACGGTCCGACGTCATCACGCCGCGCGGTCCTGCGTGTGGGATTCTGCGCCTGCGCACTCACCTTCTGTCCAGCCAAACGGGAACCACACCGAACAGGCTATTCCATGAGTGCCAGTGTCAGGCACGATAAAAAGGCGACAGAACGCTCATAGCAGTCACCCCTGAGGCTTCAAATTAGTATAGCTTTTCTCTTGTTTCCTGTATTTTTCAAATTCTATACAACCAACGTGGATTACTTTCCGGTTAGTGGCTGCAATTCCTCTGTCCTCGGGCCGGGCGGAGCGGCTCCGGTCAGCCGCCCCTTCCTGGCTCTGGTGGCCAGGCTTGGCAGACGCCTTTGGTCCCTGCCCAACCCACTGCTCTTCACCTGACGGCTGCGTGTGCCCATCTCAGGTGTCACCTTAGGATCCACCCGTACAGCAGACGAGAGACAGGCTTCTGCCTCACTCCGGGAGCCCAAACTCAGCACGGTCCACAGTAGTGGCCCAATTCTCTGTCTCCTCCAAGGGACTCCGAACACCATCAGGCCAGAGATCTGGTTCCCACACATAAAATCTCAACCCCAGTGGAGCACTGCAGAAAATTATCTGCAGGAAAACATATTATTCAAATAAAAATTCATATTTGAAAGTGAAAATTTTAAATAGTTAAAAAAAAATCTCAAAAGAGAGATGGGTAATTAAACTTGTCTAAAGAAAATAATATTAATTTTTACCAGTCACACCTATTACCTAAAATAAAACCTTTGGTTTTTATTCAAATATTTCTACACTGCTTTGCTTCACAAAGGGTTTGAGGAGGCCCACATTTTCTTACTTATCATACTATTTTTAAATTTTCACTTGAGCAGAAAGTTTTACATGAAAGATTCCTAACAGCTCATGCCCAATCACAGCAGGTACATTTCTCAGGGACAAGTGCATCAGGGCAGGAAGGAAACGCAGACAGGACGATTAGCTCTGCAGAGCCCACTGAACACTTGCACTTGGCCTCAACACCACAACTTACAGCATCACACATAAGTAAGTGCTGGTAGTTCCTAGCAACAGGAAATCTCCACGAACAACTTTAGAATTTTTAATACATATGGTTTAAAAAGTCACCTAAGAGATTCCGCTATTAATAAGACGAAAAGAGAGGACAGATTGGTGGACTGTTTCCTGATTACAGCAAATAATTTTACAAGGCTTTAAACTGTCAATTTGGGATTAACTCAGTTTTATTACTTTAGCTGACACAGGCTGTTTTTCCATCTTCCCCAAATACTGAATTCTCTGTAAACAAACTAGCCAAGGAAAATCGAGGGCAAAATATTTCACTAAATGCCTCGGATTTTACACCTGTTACAAAATACTATTTTTTCTAACTAGTGATTTAGAAAACTGGCCTTCCACAAAATACCCTGTCAGTGTTTGTTAAAATCACTCCTTTTTAGCATAGTGACTAACATCATCGAACTAAATTTTTTTTTCCAAATAGCAACACTGCTAACTCCTCAGGAATGTGAGCATCACTCTTTCCAGGAACACATCTATATGTTCGCACAAGCAGAGAAGCATCTGCTGCGGGGCGCACTTGAACGTGAACCGCGGTCACCCTGGAGCGTGGGAAGCAGCTTTCTATGTGTACAGTATCATCTCATTATGAGGCAGAAATAAGCTCATTATCAAATGACTGTGAAATAAGGAAGAAAGTCCAGGGAAGAATCATTGTCTTATGTAAATAAAAGTTCCTATTTTGTGTCACATAAATTTGTAATTTTTGCATGTAGGCTTTCCCTAATTTGGAAACAATTGCTGTACATTATGTATAATTAAGTAATTAAGGAAATACTCTGACAGACTGAAACAGATTAAAATTCCAACTCTTTGCTAGCCAAGGTATATTAAAGAGCCTCAAGTTATTTCTTCCATGGATTTTGGTTAAAACTTCTTTAAAAGCAATTAGAATAAGATGCTCAGGTCCATCAGACAGGGGCACACTCATTTCCTCCTGAACAGACGCGCACACCAACAACTTGTGTGTGAGTCTGTGTTTCTCTGGGCAGCCATCAAAACGGGCACCCTTGTTCAACTTGTTTTTCATGCAGAAGCTGTGCACACACACACACAGAGGCATGCACACACTTGCACGCAGAAAAATACTTGAATCTGCTGGCTTGTTTTTAGATTAATGTACAAAATTAATCCTTCCCAAAGTACCTCTCTTCATTATCAACACATGACACTGTAGCTATAGTAACTACATGCCCTTAAAAACCCAGATTAACTGTATTCTTCCGTTCTACTGGCTGCATGAAGGGCACTCATGTTTTAAAAAATCATGGTTGATGACTTTTGATTCAGAAAGCTACACACGACAGGGAATTAAGTAATGGCCTATCCCATTAGCTGTTGTGGAATTTATGAGTAGCATCTAGAGTACAGGCTAGAGGTGGGAGTCCGTGGTTATGGTCTTTGTTCTTGGAGAGCTGGGTATGTGTCTGGCTCAGTCCACATGAACAAAGACAGAACTTGTGACCGTCAGGTTCCAAAGCAGATCATGGCTTAACATGTGACCATGAGCAACAGGCACCAAGAGAAACTTTCCGTCAGCTATTTAGGGTCTGAGGATCCAGTTAGAAGGACTAAAAGAGAACCCCAAACAAGCCACATAGTCCACCTACACACCATCGTCTGTGATACCGCATGCTTTCATATACATCATCAGGTGCTTAAAGAAAACAGAATCCTTCCCAAAGACTCATATTGAATATATTTCCAAATACGGTGTTTGAATTTACTTGTGAAGATACCTTTTTGCAACTATGAGAATTTTCATTCTGAAATATGTTAATAAGAATAGCAGCCAATATTATGGAGTGCCAGGCCTAGTGCTGCATTATATTTTATCTCATTTAATAATTTTAACAAATTCCATGATATTATATTCACTTCGCAGGTGAGGAAAGTGAGATGGAGGAACTGGCCCAAGGTCCCACAGCTGCAGACCTCACCAAGTAAGATTCAAACCTGGCTTAATCATTCTCCAGCAAACTTCAAGGTCCTACCACTGAGAAACGCAAGAACAAGGAGAAAATGAAATAGGAATGAGAGAGAATGACAGACTGGAAGGCAGACTTGGGTTATCCAGGTTTTAGAACATAGCCGTGGGAGGCATGTGGGTTAAGTTTGGTCTTAAAAGCCTGTTCCGCATGTGACAGAAAGGTGGACGCCCTGTATGCAGAGAGTCTAACACAAACTCAATCACCACAGCAATTCACAGAGCAATGAGCAGATGCTCCCGGGTGCTGGGAACCTTTTCGCTCTACCAAATGATTCAAATGAGCATAACTGGAATTGTTTACATTACCATCTGGACTGCTATGCATATTACCGCCAGAAGAGGAAGCAAGCAATGGGAAACAACAACTCCAGGTCATTAAAATCGTAGGCAAAATAAGTTACTGTTTCTGTAACAAAACAAGACACATTTTTTTGTTTGTTTGTTTTTAGAAGACAAAGTAAGGTACTGAAATTGGGAAGGACAGAGAATCTTTAACTTTTCTAGCAGGTAAGAAAGGGCATGTAAAAATTAATAGAACAGGATCCATTACAGTTTCAGATAAAATATTATGGAGAGGTTTCTGAACTATAAAAGAACTGCATTTATTTTTATGTTTTAATAAATGTTATATACTCTGTATGGTAGACGCATAAATATTTGAGCTCTCAGAGGACCCATCAATATCTCAACTTAATATGTAAACACTTAACCTTATTTCCCCATTTAAGTGAGTCCATTGACCCCTAATTCTGTCAGGGGGTCACTGGAGCTACACTGCTGAACCCCGTATTTCAAGCATTCCCCTCTGTGGCTTCAGTTCCCCCGACAAATCTTCTTGTTTTTATGGCAAGATTGTATGGTATAATTCATACAGCACGGAATGTGGAAGTCTAGCTGAAGGAAATGTTTTTTCTGCTATGATTCAACCTTTTCAAGCCTCTGTTTACTGAGCACCAAAACAGAAGAACGACTAATTCTGCCTTGCCGTCTTTCCTACTGTTTTGTGACTGCTGCTGTCTGGCCGGTTAGGATCGTGGGGCAGCGTAGAAAAAGTGCCTGGTTTCGTGCCTGACATGCTACGGTGCTCAAAAATTGCTAAGTTTCTGTTTTCCTCGGAAAGTTTTCCAGGTTAGAGGAATCCCTACCTTAGAACACACAAAAGGAATGTGAAATGACAGACCCAGTCATCACTGGAGACTGAACACAGGCACACAGAACAGGCTAACCTGAGAAGTAGTGTCCCTTATAACGCAATCTCTAAACAGCTGCCATTTAACGAGTGCTTACTAACCCTTAAAAGTGCAAGAAAGTACCAAAAATACATTAGGTATTTACCAGGAGGTGAACGATGTTGTCGGGCATCAAGGAACAGTGGTGGCAGGTGCTGCCCCCTGGTGGAAGCAAGGAGCCTGGACCCTCATTGTTGGGTCCTGAGGCCGGAAAGAGAAATCCGCAGTGTTCTCCTGACACCCCGACAAAAACAGCCTATTTTCCAGGCGGAGGTACCATAGAAGGTGGCCTGTCAGTTTCTGAAAAGTTGCCAATGAAAAAGCCCAATAAATAACTGGACGCGATGGACATATCCCGGGAAAAAACAGCATCAAGAACAAAGACCAACCACCCAATATCATCTGGGATGTTTTTAAAACAATCATTTACTTTTTGTTGTTTAGTAAGTGACAATTCCAGGCTCGGATTTCTTATTAAGAACAATTTAGAAATAATTTCCACTCAGATCTTCTATGACAGAAAGTTGGATCAAGCCCGTTGTGCAAGACGATGAACCA